GTGTGTGTGTGTGTGATGACAGCTGCGAAAAGAGCAGCATTCATAACGTGTCCTCCTCATGTCGTGTTTAGCGTAAAAAGACAGCCGCTCGTCTTCATGTGAGAGCGCTCAGAGGCATCACAGTTACCTGAGAGCCGAGTCGTTAAGCTGCTCTTCGTCTTTCCATTTCATCCCTATTTTTTTTTCTCCCCGTCTTGAGCCGCTCACATGTTCTCTGCTCTGTTTATCATCTCCAAACTCCGCGTGTGAGTGTGTGTGACAGTAGGGAGGGAGGGAGGAGGGGTGGGGGGGTCTAAACAATATCCTATGCGCACATCACTGCCTCAGTCAGTCCTGCACTATTATACATGCATAGATCCTGTTTTACATACATGTAGTTTCATGTTCAACTATCCGCTCGGCTCCGTGAAAATGGTGCGAGTTTTACCGGAGTGTGGCTGCGCAGCTGAAATGCTTTGATAAATCATGAGCAAACCCACCCATTGAGTCACGATATCTACACTTAGTGGTTATGAAGTCATTTATTTTCTGCTGAGTGATTTCATTGTGCTCTCAGGCTGACGACTCTGAGACGCTGCACAGTCAAGGTTGGTTAGTTTAGCACAGGTGTAGGCGCATCCCCGTCGTGCGCGTCCATGTTGGGTACTCCTTCCATTTTTTGGGCCAAGGTCTTTCCCTGTGTTAACCTATATGCGCTACATATACTCACGTTGTTCCTACCTTAAAGACTCTCCAAACATAGTTTCATCCTGCCTCTCTCCCTGCTGCTTTCTTTCCTTGGATGTTTTCTCCAGCACATCTCCATATCCTCCCCTCTTATCCATCACTCCCTCTTTCTCTTGGTGTCTTTCTTTCCTGTGAGGCTTAGAGGTGATGTCAGTCTGTAGATTGTGACAGATTAGAGAGAATTAAACCCTTTGTCCCCCTTGTGGCTCCTATCTAACCAATTCAATTGGCTCATTACTTTCTGGGTGAGGGAGCTGAGGGGCCTGTCTCAGAGCGCTAAAATGGGATTGTTATCACAAATCTAACAGGCAAACCGAATTTTTTCACTCAATCTCAATCCCAAGTCTACAATAGCTATGTCTCCAAAAGCTGCAACAGCTCTTTGGAGGATTTTTTATTTTTTTTACCTCATTTGAGTCAAAATCCATTATAAAGCAGCAGGATATATAGTATTTCATTGCTGGATAGCATTGTGTTCTCTGTTTGAAGGGCTGTATATGGGTGCTGTCCGTGGTGCTGAACATGTCTGGACGAGCCACTCAGGCACATGCACTCATTTCTGCTGTGTTGCAACTCAACTCAATTGATTCCCACTCCTTCCTGACCACTTTGGCACAACTTCCAACTGCTGGAAAGTGTGATTGTTCATTCCCCACTCCCCTCTGCTCCCTGGTCATCTTTACCCCCCCCCCCTCTCTCTTTGTGCCTTCAGTCATTTCACTGACTTGTTTTTTTATTTTTTTTTACGGAGACTTCATCAAACTCTCTCAATCTTATGGGCTCAAACTCTCGTCCACCAGTCCCAAGTGTCACCAGCAACAGCAATGGCTATTTTCTGAGTCTGCCGTACAAATCACAACCTCTGAGTAAAGAAGAAAAAATAAGTAAAATTGAAGACGGAGACAAAAATGAGTTGGGCCTTTCAGTCTCAGATGGGGGTATCAGTTTGTTTCCTGACATTTGTAAATCATGTAACCTACAATCTGTCCTGTTTGTCCCACTGGATTGCTAGCAGTTGGTCATACTACCTCCCTCATATCTGTCTGTCCCATCAGTAACTCGTTCTGTGCTTTAACACGCCCAAACTTGTAATTTCTCAGAGGATTTCTCTGACGTGTACCACCAGCCGGCTCTGTTCGTACACATACGCCTCACTCACAAAAGAAGCTCCATTCTCCCCCGGTGCTGCATAGAAACTGAAGCAACTTCTATACCGGCCACGTCTTGCACAATGGCTGACCAGATAAGATGAGGCCAAGATTAATCTTTAAGAGTTTATTCCCCTCTAGAATTATCTATTATAACTCTGCTCTTCAAAGACTCAAAGGTTTGTCATACAAAGAAAGACCAGAGGAAGAATAAAGTGGTTAATTCAGCATTCCTTTTCTGTTGACAAAAACCTCTATGGTGCCTGATAAATGGTCATTGTTAAATTAAGTCAGCCTAAACATGATGTGTTTTACGATACATTTTATTCAAATAGCTCACTCCATAAGACAGCAACAAGGTACAGAAGTTCAGTGTCTGACTAAATGTTATGTATGTTAAAATGAGGCTTTGAATATTTGACCCGGTGATGATTTATAGACAATGATACGGGAGACTACAATAAGAATCTGGTGAGCTGCCGCACTGTGAACGTTTTAATAATGACAGGCAGGCCACAAGTATGCAAATAACAGCTCAGCACAATGCTGATATGCAGAGAAAAAACTGAAACAGGTTTTTTCAAACCTTAACGCAGCTGTGTTATATCCGCAGAAGCAGAAGAACATGCCTGATTTCACTCCTGTCAGCTACAGTAAGAACAAGACAGTGAAACTTGAGTGGTTACACGATCACCAAAACGAGACGAGTGAGTAGTGAAAAACACCCCGTGCTATGACAGATATCAATTATTTTGTGACAGCAAGGGCCAGACTTTGGTGTAAAAGCTCCATTCTGCCTTTTGTCCAGAGTTCTGGCTGTTAACAGCACAGTATGCGTGATGATGGAAGAAAAGTTTTCTTGCTACTCATTGGGCCACTATTGAATAGGTTGAATGTCAGTGTGTATTTACACCTTGTTGCAGAGCAGGCAGATTCCTTCATGGCTATAATTGGGCTCCTACAGCCAGTTATTACAGTGTCACATTTCATTTAAAATGACTTTAGTGCACTTAAATGGGCTGCACAGTCTGTGAGATACAATGTGATATTCACAGCAGGCATGCACAGACAAAAGATTTGCTGCCACTGAGAGATGCTATCATCATGGGCCAAGCTCCTGCTGAAATTATTAAAGTGGGTCCTGTTGTTCTAGCTAGTAGTGCCTGATTAGATGAGCACTACCTGGATAAAAAACCTAATTAAAACATACCGTAAAAACCTAGTGTCTATATGCATTTGTTGTCCATTAGTCGTAAATCTGATGATACTGAACAGTGGTTAAGCAGAGGCCTGAACAATCACACACACACACACACACAAACACACACACACACAAACAGAAACTCACAAATGCATACAGACAGCATGCTCAAAGGATTTGCAGCAAAGTCTTTCCCAGTCAACCAGAACTAAGTCACAGAAAGACCATGCGTGAGTCACACAGGACCCCTCCTCCCTTCCCTGATCTGTGTGTGTATGTGTGTTTGTGTGTTTCTGTTATCTATCTGTTTTTTTTAAGTCCTTGCTTAACTTCAGCGGTTTACCGTGAAGTCATCATCTGTTGCTTTGACTCTTCTCTGACCTTTAACAGGATTGGTTGCCACCGGATGTGTCACTAACTCATCTTTAGCAATAATAAGGCGAGACAGGAAGATGGCCAGTAGCTGTTCGCACGTGTGCACATCACATGTCTGTCTCAGTGTTTCCCTCGTTCCTAATGACCTCCCTCCATGACCCCTTCCAAATTTACCTACAGTACATTTTTGTCTCGGCACTTTTGACGTGCAATTCCTCTTCTCTTCTAACACCCTTCCCTCCCTTCGTTCTGCCCTACAGATGAGTTCGTGCAGTAGCCGTGCGTTGACCATCCTGTCCACAGTGTTTGGAGCCTGCGGGCTGCTGCTGGTGGGGGTGGCCGTGTCCACGGACTACTGGCTGATCATGGTGGAGGGCATCATCCTACAGCAGAACCAGAGCATGGAGGTGAAGATGGCGCTGCATTCAGGCCTCTGGAGAGTTTGCTTCGTGGCTGGTAGGAAGATACCACAACATACTTGAATATTCCCATATAAAAAATGAACAGATGACTGTATAAGACGGATACATGTGCCCACACTGACACACACACACAAACAGTGCTGTTACGTGTGTCTGCATATGTCCACATCATCACGGCGACTCACACATAGAAACAGATAGAATAAACAAGCCGAGTGAGAGAACAGCAAGGGCAGAAAAGAGAGAAAGCTAGCGTCTGGCCTCTAGAATCATAGCTGTCACAAAACATGATCGTTACCTGTGAGCAGGACTGCAGAGGACCCACATCCTTTTTTAGGGGTTTTGTTTTGTTTCTTCATGCATCACTGACGTTTATCCTAAAAGCAAACCCCAACATTTTCCTTTTTTTCCTGTGTGTCGGTGCATGTGTGTTTTCCTCTCAGGATCAGAAAACGGGAGATGTGTTGCGTCAGAGTACTTCACTGAACCCGATATAGAGATCACCACTGAAAACACTGCAAACATCCTCAGTGAGTAAAACATGTAACAGCACATTATCTACTGTATGAGAGTCTGCAGGTATGTCCCCCTGCTGATTGATTGTGGGTACTGAAATCTGAACATAATATTAGAGCTAGTCGATCAACACAAAATTAATCTGCAACTATTTTGATTAATTGATTAATCATTTTGAGTAATTTCTTAAGATAAAATACCCAAATTGTCTTGTTGCAGCTTCTCAACTGTGTGGATTTGATGTTTTGAGTTACCTGTGTTGGAGATTGGAATATAAAATTATAATATATGATGTGCTGTTTCATCCATAATTTTTTCATTTTGGAGAAATTTTGCTACCTTAAATGTATTCAGTATGTCAAAATTCATTCTACTGTAAAGTTAACATACCGTACAAGATTCTGGATTAGGTTTTTCACATTTATGCAGTACTAAATATTCAATGCTGTGCTTTCAGTAGCATAGAATACTGATATAACTGAAACGCTTAAACTCTGTGATGTTTCTCTGTATTCTTGCAGGTTTACAACCATGTTGCCATGTTTTGTTGTAGCCTTTAACATCATAACTCTGTTTCCCATAGTTAAAAAGCTCATTAAAAGGTAAATCTTGTTGAAATGTATCCATACCTTGTAAGAATACTGTTTCCAATCTCCCTATTTTAGTGGCGGAAGTCACAACCAGGCATCTCCAAATCACTGAACCCACTTTATATCATACATTTTACTTTTTAAGGGGAGAGAGACATTATCATTCACCTTTCCCAGCAGTTTTAGGACACATCCCATCAGCTTTATTTAACAATGTGACATCTCCTCCCTACAGAGATGGTGCGGACAGCCACGCCCTTCCCGATGGTGTCGCTGCTCTTTGTCTTCACGGCCTTCGTCATCAGTAACATCGGACACATCCGGCCTCAGCGCACCATCCTGGCCTTTGTGTCCGGCATCTTCTTTATCCTCTCAGGTGGGACCCATTACTCATGTCCCGCGGTCACTCTGTGATTGATTACAGCAGCCTGGTGTGTCTTGTGTCACACATGGAGACACTCCATCACGTCTCTATTTTTAGTGTATGATGCAGGTGTGTACGATATCATTAGAAGAGGTGACTAGATTAGAGAGAGTTTTGTGCTTTCCTCTTTTGACTTTGCATTACTTTGGAGTTAAGCAGGCTTTATCTGATATACAAAGGCAACAACATGAACATGGTGTTCATGCTATTCCCACGGTATCATGAGCAGATTTTTCAGCTTCAGCTTGATTTTCTGCATTAATGTAGTTAACCTTCTTGAACAGCAGGTGGCTGTAATGCTCCCATTTCTTGCCCTCTTTGTGTGTAAAAGACTGTCAGGAGCCAAATTGGATCTCATGTTCTCTGTAGGCTGTTTCACTTGACATGTTTGAGAGCTCACAGGAGCATCAAACAGAGACTCCTGCGACAGCTCCGACTGCCGTAGCAGGGACTCTGATAAAGGGTGTAGCAGAATAATAGGTGTTATATAATGGGGGTTATGTAATGTTTGTAGCCTGTGCTGGAAGTGTTGCAGTGTTTTACTTTATGAGATATTTTGATAATAGAGTGATAACAAGGGGCAAGTGTATCAAATTGCTTTTCGGGCGGTATATTCTGCTGCACGAAGCCTCTCTCTCTTTCTAAACACTGCCTATCCCCCCCCCCCCCGTTCACTCAGCCTCACAGTTTTCTTTGCTTTTTCTGTTTCTCCTCCCTCTCAGTCGCTCCGCTTCCTCTCCTCTCACTTTCCTACTCATGCCTTCATTCAGAGTATATTCTTTCACTGTTCCAAGTTACTATGGATGTGGTGGTGTTTGTGGACTGATATGAGTGCTGGTATCACTGACACGGTGGTCTGGTAAATATTGTAGTGTGAGTCGGTCATGTTCTGGTTAATGTTACAGAATTCAGAGCAGCAACAAAAGACACAGCATGGAGCCACAGCTGTTCGAGCATGGTTATAGGTTTTATGTTGGTCTCTCACCCCATCTCTCTCTCTGTGTGACTTTTTGTTTTTCTCTCAAACACACATACCTCTTACAAATGCATGTGTACTCACACACATAATATACCTCCATTTCTTCCTCCTTTGGTCTCCTACACTTGCACACACTTTCTTTTCCAGTTGCTCCTAGGTGTTACTTATTTAGATGAAGATGTACCTCTTCTGCATGATTGACAGCAGCATGGTTTCTGCATTTTCCATGCTTTTCAATTTTAAATCGACAACACAACCTCTTAGGCTAGCCATTTACGTAAATGACATAACCGCTTGACAGCCCTGTGGTACATTTGAATGTTGCAGTGAAAGCTAAAAATACTCATATTTGCTGCATACAGCATTCGGCTTTCTCTGAATATTGATTGTTCGATGTTGGCCATATGTTATGTCTCATGCATTTAACATATCTATGGCAGGGTGGAGAGCATGTGCGTGTTCTTGGAGGAAGGGGGGTTTTAATGTTGTATGTGTTGCTTCTGGGTGAAAAGGGTCATTCTTTCAGTTTTGAAAGCCACTTCTGGTTTTCCATTTGATGATTATGCTTTAACAGGTTTACAGTGTATGCTGCATGTAGTTTCTGTGTAGACCCACTTTAACATTTTTACTATGTGTACATGTCTTTATTATGATTTATGATCAGTAAGAACCATATTATAAATGTGCAAGCTCAGTCAGTAGTTCAACTATATCATTACAACATGACAATTAAATTAAAGGTACTTTGCTCTTTGGGTACGTGAAGGAAGAAAATTGTTTAGTTTAGTAAGTTTTTAAGTGATTATGTGCAAGCAACCCTATCTCCTAGAAATTATATATGACTAATTTGAAACAGAAAATCATCATAATGAGAAAATGTTTTACAGTTTTTTGAACTGACAAGGATCTGACAAAATGTTAAATAAATGGAATTTAGTTTAGTTTAGTTTTCCCTTGCAACATCCAGCACTATAACATCTGCTTTTTTCCATCTATGGTTATGTTCACTCATATGCACTTAAAGCACTTCAGTTATGGTTAGGTAAAAGATTGTAGTCTTGGTTAAATATTCATCTGTGACTTGAAGGATGACAGTTAACTTTATTAACAATTTACCATAACAAAGATCTTTTCCTTCCTTTCCTTTATTTTGCCGAACCACACACTAATGGTTTCATTGTCAACACTAAAACCCTTTGCAGAAATTATCTTTTCCTCCAAACATATGGTATTTTGGCAAAACAAATTAGCCGTATGTAAATGTAATGTTGCACAAGACAGGGTAAGGACACAAAAAGAAAACCGGCCAAAATAGCAATTTTTTTCTATAATAACACATCACCCCTTTTAGCCTTTGTGGAACTCTTTTTCTCATGAATAAGTTATACATTGTTTTGTTTCTATGAAGGTTTTTCCTTTCCAGGGGTCATTAATCTTTATCTTTTATCTGTCATTATGATACATACACCCTCTCTCAAGTCTCCCTCCCATCTCTTTATTAAAGTTAGCATTTCCGAGGCTAATTGCTTGGTGTGGTCACTCCACATCCCATCATTCTCTGTGTCTTTTAAACCTTCCCCACACTGGTGCAGCTGTCTAGATAGCTATATAATGACCTCCTTGCTCTGTCTCTTGTATCGAATTCTCTTTCTCTCTCTGGCTCACTGTCATTGTTAATGTGCTGTGTGCAGGCCTCAGTCTGGTGGTGGGCCTGGTGCTCTACATCTCCAGTATTAATGATGAGGTGATGAACCGTCCCAGGGAGCCCGAGCAGTTCTTCAACTACCACTATGGCTGGTCCTTCGCTTTTGCTGCCTCTTCCTTCTTACTCAAAGAGGTCAGTCCGGGCTCAGTGTGTGTGTGATAAAAAATATGGGAGATAGAGGGAGAGAATGAGTGCATGTGTCTATGTTTGCAAACGTGCTACAAGCAGAGAATATATTTGCGTGTTTTTTTTCCCTGTAGTATTGCATGCAGGTAAAATGATTAGTATTCTGTATGTGAGGTATCAATGGTTATGACGCAGAACTGCAGGGGTTGTGTGTGTGTGTGTGTGTGTGTGTTCATGTGTGCATCCAGGCGTGGTGCAATTTCATGTGAAGCCTCTCCTCATCTTCCCACCTCCCCTCCCCCCCCCGCTTCTTCTGCCTCTTCTTCCTGTCATCAGCAGCACTGCTCTTAATGTGCTGCAGTGGACAGTTCAGTTTTAACTAACCTCCTCCCCTCTGCTATCCTCTCCTTTCTCCCCATCTTTTCTCCACACTCTTGTCTCCTTTGTCCTTTCTTTCTCTTTCAATCTGTTTTATATGAGCTTAAAAGAACTTAAAAGACACCCTCATCTTTGTAAATTCTTAGCAATCAAAAGCACCCACTTACCCCTCTCCACCTTGTACACTTCTTGCCTATCAGTCACTTTTAATCTAATTTCCCCAGCAGTTACTATTTCTTTGAAAATGTATTTGTCTGTGAACTCAATTTATTTACGTAACTAAATCTCTCTCTCCCTGTCGCATCTCATCTCCCCATCATCTCTTCCTGCTTCCTCCTAACACTCACTGTTCTCAGGGGGCCGGGGTGATGTCAGTCTATCTGTTTATGAAGCGCTACGCTGAGGAAGAGATGTACCGCCCCCACCCTGCACTCTACCGCCCCCGCCTGTCCGAAAGCAGCGACTACAGTGGCCAGTTCCTCCACCCAGAATCCTCCTGGCCCCCGCCAAAGCGAGGCCGCAGCACCTCTGAAGCCTCCAGCGACATCTCAATCCAGCTCAACCAGGCACCCCCAGCGCCACCCAAAAGCAAGCTCCAAACAGGTGGCCAGGGCAGCCCACCTTCTGGGTCTTCTTCCGCAGGGAGCTACCAAATGCCTCCGCAGCCTGCTGGATACTCCTCCATGCACACCCTAACCAGGTCGCACTCCTCGCATCCCCAAGGCCAGGCTCTTCCCATGGCCATGCCTCCATCACCTGTACCTCCCCCTCACTATCACACACACATGCACATGAGCGCCTCCCCCTGTTAAGAAGAGGGAGCATCGGGGAGGACAGGAGAGACACTGTGACTCCTCATAATCATGTATACAGTACATTTAGATGATGGATGAAAGGAAATGCTGAGCTTGGAGCACAGATGTGAGATGAAGTGAGAGGGAGAGGTGATGTAAAAAATGTAGCGTTTGGAACAATGTGGACCAAGGACAAAGGAGGCTTTGGAAATAGATTTAAAAGGATTGTGGAGATTTTACAGAAACTGTGATGGATGAAGAAAAATAAAAACAGAAGAGTGAAAAAGAGGAATTCAGTTTGCCACAATAGAAAGAGGGAAAAAAGTGTTTCCTAGAAAGACTTTAGAGGTTAGGTTGAGTGACAGAGGAGATATAGGGGAGGGAGAGTGAAGCAGGGAGAGCGAGGTGCTGCGGTATAATACGAAGATACTGCAGTGCTGCGGGAAATTTGTATGCACTTGATAATGTACAATGCAAAACACTGATCACAAAGACTGAGGATGCACATAGTTTTATACATACATAATTCATGACGATACATGGACTATGTTTCCTTTTTACCTAACGGGTAAATGTGGTAAAATATATTCTTGTCTTCTCTGAATTTCTTACATCACCAATCCAGTTTCATAACTCACAGTGTCAAAGTAGTGTTATTAATATAATGAATTAAAAATTATTAGTTAACAATAGAGTAATTCTGAATTGAGAACACTGTATGTGAATGTTGTTACCGTTTGTAAAAATGATACAGACAGAAGTGGATGATGTTCTGAATTATCATAAGGAGAAATCAACTTTATGTTTTACATATTTGTTTAAGATACAAATTTCTAACTTTACTGTACATAAAACTGCACATGAGGACTTCTATATAGCTGTTGTAAATTATGAATTAGGCTTTGGCACAAGTCACATCAAGAAAATGTCTGACTCATTCTGCTTTTGGTGAACACTCTGCAACAGGCGTAGTACAACCAACAACACACCCTCTGGATGCAGCGCACACGCCGGGTTGAAGGAGGAACCACTGATACAGGGGTCTGATGCCCTCTACTGGTCACTGTTCTGCACTGACCCTGGACCAGCCCCTCCTGGGCTCAGTTCACTATTTTTTTTTTCATGCACTCTTCCTTCCTCACTGACCTGCACTGTGTGTCAGTTGATGGTGCAGCACAGATGAGCTGAAGCTGTTGTCCATCCAGAGGTGGAGTTATGGTGAATGTCAGGAGCAACGAGAGGTGCCGTTTTGAACTGTAAATGGATTAAGATATATGCGTATATGCTTTAAAGACTGGTTAGAGGATTTTTTTAAAGCTTCAGTGCAGTTTATATATCTGGAAAAATCACATGATGAAAGTATTAATTACATTTGCACTTAACTGCTCAAAGGACAATACCACTGTTTGTGAAATGCAGGTCATCTGTGGAGACCACAGCTTTATTCCAATATTTTCTGTGGCTGTTTGTGACAGAGCATCTGAAAAAATATGTTTGGATGAAAATGTGATACTGAGGTCTCTCATGTTTAGAGCTGCAACTAATTATTATATTAATTATCGGTTAATCCACTGATTATTTTTCAATATAATGTTTTTGTCAATGAAAATAGTGAAAAGGGCCCACAGCTCAAGGTGATTCAAAGCACTTGTTTTATTCAGCCAACTGTCCAAAGCCCAAAGACATTCAGTCTTCTCCCATATAGGCCATTAAATCTTAATATTTGCGAAGCTGGAACCAGAAAGTGTTTACACATTTTACTTTGAGAATGACTAAAATGGTGAATCTATTATCCAAATAGTGTTTTGTTAAAGGACTAATTTATTAATATACTAGTTTTTTTCGATGTGTTCACTTTTTCGGTACAGTGCAGGAAAAGTTGTGTTGGGCACTGTGCAATATTTCAAAGATGCAAAGTTATTCCTCCTGATAAAATGCTGCATGTTAGAAAAAGTATCAAGACTTTTGGACAATCCCACATGGGTCAGAGTAGCAATTCCTTCAACACCACAATGTAGCATGCTGCATCGGACATTGGAGGATGTTTTAGGCCACTTTGCTGTGCACTTTAATCAAATTGTTGTTGTTTTTTTCAAACTAACATATATTTTCAGATGCCATAAAACCTGAATGTTCCTAAATACTGTGCAGTATCTCAAAGATGCAGAATAGTAATCCTGAGTAAGAATTCTTCTCTAACAAGCAGGACCTGTACATCAAAAACAGTCGGATTTTAATTTAGAATAGTTTATTTTGTTTGTTTGTTTTTAAGGCACATCATGCACGGGGGATATGTTGATATGATATATCTCTCTAATGAGAATTAAACCACCGTGTCATTGTGTAATGGCTGGTTTTCATTATCACTGTGATGCTGGAGAGAGGGAAACACACTGACGTCCTACAGAAGATGTGTGGGATGATAACGACTTACAGGGGAGAATATAAAGTGAGATATCATCGTATTTTCGCCTTCATGCAGGGTTTTGTTGAGCAAGCGTGTGGATTTTCAGCACAGCCTTGCTTTTTGTTTATGCAGCTGCACAAATTCATGTTGAAGTGAAGCCCAGTGTAACCGCAGCCCTCTGTTGTTGGTTCTGCTGTTACAGTTAAGGGGTTAAGTGCCTTGAGCAAAGGGCACCTCAGCAGTAGCTGTTGAAGATGATCAAAGTATTTCCTTTTCTAGATTTTCCCAGCCAACGGGCATCTAAACCTCCTGGTTAAAGGCCACCCCTCTAATCTATAGTCATGACCCCATCATGACCCTTTTGTTTCTTCCTTTACAGAATTAATTTCCTTTTGTAATTTGTATAACTGTTTGATAATCATTCATTGCCTCCTAACTGCGGCAGTTCTTTCCTTTTTCATCTCTGTACCTCTTTGTTTTTCCCTCTCTAACCCCTGCTCTTTTCTTTGCCTCTACATGATTACATAAAAGGGTGTAGCTGTGCTTGCTTCTGCATAAAGCCTAGACTTCTTGCACATGACCATCTTTGTAAAGACAAAATGGGTAAAACAAATGCTTTTCAATGCTTCAATGGAACTGATGCTGTATAATCTTGAGTTATATAATTCAATAGCAATTGTGATAAGATCACTGTTCTTGAAAGTGTTGACATATGTCACTCACTTTCCTCTAAACATGAATAAAACTTTCAACATGGGTTCATTTCACCCTGTTTGCCCTCTCTAGTTATCTATATATCTTTTGTTGTTGAATGTTTCAATACCTTTTCTATTTAGTTAGTAAGTTTAGCTATAAGGGTTTGCATAATAAGGACAGATTTAAAAAATAAGCCCTCATTTTGATGTGAACTGTAGTGATACGGGCCCAGCGTGAACTTATATTAATATAATACCTAAAGAGTGCTTTGCTGGTCCCTGTGATGGAGGGAACCATATAAGTGAATGCACACTGCACTGCGGTGAACCACTGGGTGTTAACCAGGCTCCCTCCTCAGTCACGGCAAGCCACCACAGCCTGAGGGCAACAATTGATCAGGGTCTTGTATATGTGTATGCGTTTGTGCATGACTGCGTTTGCTAGCATATGTGTTTGCATTGTTTATCATAATCAGCCTGAGACTCAAAAATACCATTAGAATATTAAATTGTAATCTAAAGTACAACAGTGAAAAGTAAAACAAGGTTGTCGCTAAAATATGGTCTCTGTTACATAAATAACTATTATACAGTTAAGTTGGTCAAGGTCAAAAGAGAGTAGAGTGATGGAATGAGCCATGTAGGTGAACTAATAATACATTTGGAGCAACAAGAGGAAAATTACAGTAAAAAGAGACAAAATGCAATCTGAAATTAAACTTTTGCACAACATTAAACTATGATTCCTCTGAAATTTAATCCAGAACTAAATGTTTTTGATGCCAAAGATAGTAAATAACAATGTGTCGACGTGCGTGCGAGACAGAGAGTGAGAGGTGTTACATTAGGAAGTCAAACATCAAACATCCACAGGTCAATAAAACTAAAAAAGAGTGAGCACTCAGCTGTCTGACTTCCAGGACTCTGTGTGTGTGTGTGTGTGTGTGTGTGCATCTCTCCTGATGAATGAAGCCTGACTGCTGGTGTAAACAATTGAGATTAAATTGTGACTTGTGGTTGTTGTGTGGCCACTTTTCTGTAATAACGTGTATTTCACTGTGTGGGTTTTGTGTGTGTGTGTGTTTTTCTGTGTGTGTGTGTGTGTGTGTGTGTGTGCAGGTCTGTGTGTGTTATTTGCTTCTGTCTGTTTCTTTTGTTTGTCTGTGTATATGTGCTGTGCGCTGTTGTGTGTGTGTGTATGTGTGGCAGTGTGGGTTGAGTGGATCTCTCTTTTCACCATCACCATTACTGCATGAAAGACCTGTCACTCTGTATTAGCTCTCTCCAGCTCTCCCTCACCCCTTTCTGTGTGTTTGTGTGTGTGTTGTGTGGTGTGTGTGTGAGAGGAGAGAGAGATGAGAGAGAAAACTGGCAGCAATAGCCATTTTAAAGCTATTGAAGGTCATCTGTCCCGCTCAGTTTTGTGCATCCTAAACGCGTGCGTGCGAAACGGCAAGCTCAGCCAATTGCTCCATTTTTTATAGACGTGATGGACATAATTTATCTAATATACAAACCAGCAAGTCCATCATCATTGAGTCTTGATAATAATTAGAACTGACGTCATTATCAAATATTATACAACCCCTGCTGAGTTTTGTCTATATACGAACTAAATCATTGACCTGTAGATATAGACTAGACTAACAACGCACACACCACACACACACACACACACACACACACAATCCTCACTCTCTCTCTCTCTTCCTCTCGTGCACGCGGCTGCGCTCGGTGCTGCATTCCCAGACACTACCAGCCGCGGCCTCATCATCATCATCATCCCCCACAGAGGAAACACCTCGCCCACTGGCGCTCCATCGGTCCCTCCAGCAAAAAAAAAAAAAAATTATATAAATATACCTAGTCGACATCAATACCCCCACACACACACACAATATCATAAACCCTGGTCATAGCTCAATCGACTTACAACGCACAGCCATGCGCGCGCCAACACGCTCCAAATAAGCACATCAGCACAAATTCCCTCAAAAAATTTAGAGAAGAAGAGAGAGAGAGAGAAGGAGAAACAACGGGGCGAGTCGCGCGCGTCCAAACCTCGCCTGATCTGCGTACGCAAACATTAGCTGCTGGTAGATTTCATCTTGTGTCGATTCTGACATTATCCGTCATCATTCACATCACTGAGGAGTTTTTGGTGGGATGCGACAAGTTGCTTGCGTCGGGCTCAGTGTGGGAGAAATAGATAGAGGAGCAGACAGGCAGCGAGCGCTCGTCCAAACCGGAGGGGAGGGGAGGAGGGGGGGGAGACGCATTCTCCCCGAGTACACACAAGCAGCGGCCACATCCTCTGTAGACAAATCCGTGTTCAGTGACGTGTTTTGTATTAGCCTTTTTTTATATGCATGTTCAACCCTTTTACATCACTGGGTGATTTTACATTTTTATCAGGAATTGAGACACACAGTCCCTCGCGCGCTTCTTATTGCCATCAACTCTAATCATCCCCTTTCTATTTATTTATTTTTTTTGCCTCGATCGACCCGTTATTTAGCCCATCCGCCGTCCCCCCTTTTTTCCCTCCATCTCCTTCTCTCTGGGAGTGCGACGCGCTGCGAATCTCTCAAATAAAAAATAAAAAGAAGCCTGCAGGTAAGACCTCTCTCCGAGCTTATTTTAATGATTATAATTACACTGTGTCACTGTTGTTGTTGTTTTTTACTTTGCAGCTTAATGGATCACTGTTCATCCAGTGTAATTTACACGCCACATTGATTTGTTTCACGTTGCCTGCAACTTAGCCCACTACTGACAGTGTAGGCTACGGAATTTACAGGGGAAAAAATAAAGATAATCATTCTCAGACTTCTGCCACCTCTCTGATTAAATACTGAATGATCATTTTCCCACCTATTTCCGCGGGCCTATAATTAGCGACTGCAACGTCTATTATGCAAATGAAACCCTTATAATAGCTCGTTTGAAGCTCTTTCTGCATCCGCACCGCAGGTGTTGGGACTAAAATATCTGTTGTATGTGCTGAAAAGGGTCGGCTACTTATCCGACAATCAGGAGTTATTTCTGTGTCTTAATGGGTGATTTGTGTCCCAGTCCACTGAGTTTTCTCTGTACCGGCCGCTTGATGCTAGGCGTCCATTTTCCACCGTGTAGCCTATGCAGGCAGGGTGATGTGTGTAGCTTACTCTATTAATGAATGCACCGCAGTCCGCATCACTGTACTTGAGCTTTTGCACGCTCTCAGCCCCGTAGCTCCGTGCTTGTAGCATATGAGTCTAATCAGTGGTCAGCACAGCTTCTGCAGCTGGACTCCTCACAGTG